GTGTTGATCTGATGGTATATGAGGCAGTCGTCGGCAAATAGCCTGGTAACGCCCCTCACAGCTGATTGAATGTCGTTGATGAAAAGGAGGAACAACTGCGGTCCCAAAACAGTCCGCTGTGGCACACCGCTGAGAACTTTATGCCAGCTGGACAATTCACCGTTGACAACAACCCTCTGCAGCCGGTTGTTTAGGAATGCAGAGATCCAGTTTTTAATCTTGCCCCTGATGCCGTAATGATCGATCTTCTGAAGGAGTTTCTGGTGTGGTACTGTGTCGAATGCCTTTGAAAAGTCCAACACTACTACATCAGTGGTGATACCATTGTTGGTGATTACGGGCAAGGTCATTGAAAGTCAAAATGAGTTGACTCTCACATGAACGTCCTCTACGGAAGGCATGCTGATTTTCAGATAGAATTTGATGCTGGTCGAGGTGCTTCATCAACTGACTGTCAACAATATGCTCCAGAAATGTGCAACACCCTGAAGTTAGGGACGCTGGTCTATAAGTAGCTGGATCAGATGTAGCACCATTCTTGAACAAAGGGGTTGTTGGCCTTTTTCCAATCTGCCGGGGCAGCTCACCTGTGTCCAAATATTGTTAGAGGATGTGCGCAAGGATGGGGGCGATTTCATCCGCAGCCAGTTTGAGGGCTCTGTTTGATATTTGGTCTGGCCCAGCTGCTTTGGAGACGTCCATTGATTTAATCGGTTTCAGAACACCTCCTACAGACATTTTTATGTCAGGCATGTCAGGGTAACTCGCATGGTAACTGCGACGCTTCCTCTCTAGTAAAGATGCTACTGAATTGATTAGCTAGAGCTTCAGCTTTCTCCTTGCCACCAGTTATGTCAACGTGAGGCTGGAAAAAAGTATGCACTATATACCAAACACAGTGAAGTTTCTAATTTGCATATTATCGATCTTATGTCATAATACCAGTGACCGAATCACAGCTTAATTTTGGCTGAGCATGTCATTTGCGTGACAATAGTTCCTGTTTAATAAGCCGTATGAAATGTTTCCCTGAATAAAATTATATACGGGTAACATTACCTACTGTAGGCCATGTTATGCCTAATCTTCTCTGGGATCAAGGTAGAATGGAGCACAAGCTAATCATACAATGTACTTTTCACATCAATCATGCTTGAAAAATCCATTTAAAGATTCGCAACAAGTCAAAACAAGTGTGACTAAAAAAAATGTCCGGGAACTGGGGTAGCTTTGTGGCAGGTTTTTCTCCACTAATATCGGTAGAATATCAAGCAATTTTCGCAATTTTCAAAATGGCTGCCATTGCTGGTTATTCTACCTATTTTTTTTTCAAAGGACAAATAAGTGATGGCCCTATAATCAAATATCTTTTTTCATGACACACTCTGTGCCAAATTACATGCTTGCATCATCAAAGACACAATCCCATCACCTAAATTTGCCGTACTCGGAGGGGTTTCCAGAGGAATGTTCGTACACCCTTGACCAATTGTTTATTTCATTATTATGTATTATTTACCGATGGATTGTAGTTCGGGTGTGAAATGTTAACAGTACCAGCACGTACTTTCAGCTAATGGTTCCTGTCTGGGATGCTGAATAGCGTTAAAACAAATCAAAACAATTACAGCGTGCCCCAAACAAACATTGTGCATGAAGAAGTTGCTGATTTGTTCAAAAAGAGGTCATACTAGTTAATCAAATTGTGTATTATTTTAAAGCCTATTGTCTTGTTTATAATATTTAGTGAAAATATCAAGTTAATACATCAATACAAACCAGAGATATCGTTGATTTTGTAAGGGTTTATTATTTTCCTCCTGCACAATTAGAATCCTGTATTAAGCATGTTAACGAAGAAAGTCAAAAGGGTCCGTTTGACGCTCGAGTAATGCATGTGCAATTAGAGCAGTTACTGCATGCTTTGAGATTTGATTATACATGTACATGTATAACGTTATGTACCCAAATGTTATCTGTGAACACCCTTACCCAAATGCAATATAAAAGTCATGCAATATTTCAAGCACTGCGTAACACATACCAATAACCCAATAATCGGTATATACGCGTGCAAATACTATACGTGTGGAAATTACATTGAGCAGGCCAAAATACATAGCCTAACCAAATAAAAGATATCTCTGGTTAGCTGGGTTGGATTTTCTTGATTTTTTTTCATCAATTATAAGATTTGAGGCTTTGCATGGTGGAGATACTAAATAATGAAAGGTTTGCGGAAACACCATGTGCGAATAGTTTCTCAATTAAGAGAATGGTTCTGAAAAGAACCAGAGGTATATCTTTCCAGTCAGTATGCTCTGACTGTCTTCAGGAGAGTGCCTATAAACTCTAAGATAGTAAACACTTAAGTAGCACCACTTCACTGGGCACACCAAGCTTGCTCATGGATCCTAGCTACTTGGCATCCACACAAGATCTTCACATTGCACCGTTTTTGCTTTCGCTACCTAAGTGTTTACTTTCTTAGAGTTTAGGCACTCTCCTGAAGACGGTCAGAGCACACTGACCGGAACGTCGAGTTTATACCTCTGGTTCTTTTCAGAACCATTCTCTTAGTTGAGAAATTATTCGCGCATGGTGTTTCCGCAAACCTTTAATTATTCCACAATTATAAAAAAGACCACAGGCTTGAAAATGCTATAAAATTTGATGAGCTAGTCTGACCAACTTTTGAGAAAATCAGCGATTTCTTCATGCACAATGTTTATGGAGACACGCTGTACTATGGGGTAACAATAAAGCTATGCAGAGCGATTGCTCACGGAACATGCACTGTTTTTCTGGAATTGTGCTTCTCCTCTGCTATTTCAGACTCGCTCATCGATAAAAACAAATCATCGCCGCTGGTTAAGTTTACATGCAGATGTGACCTATGATTGCTGATGCATCACTCTAGCCCGCTTGGATGAATCAAGGACGTTTATATGGAAAAAAAAAGTCGATTAAAGAAGGCGAAGTGTAGCCCATCGGCAACGATAGGAAATAATCGAGTATTGAATCAAAGATGACGGTAAGGCAGCAATCTACGAACATGGGATCTTTTATTCCCACGAGCTATAGGCCTATGCAATGTAAGCAGTAGGAAATGTACATGGCTGTTTTCATCAGTATAAATGCCAGTACGTGTGTGAGCTTCAACATCATTCAGGGTGAGCAAAAACAAAGCGGAACCTAACCCCCAAAATTATATTTCATGTTTAAGCATTTGTAGCACCACAAATAAAGCTATTGTTAGATGAAAAATATATATACTAAAATTGCTCAAGCCGTTCAAAGAATATCACAATTTAAACACAATGACCCTAAAACTTCTTTCGTCAATTCTTTCACAATCATCACAAGCGATAAAACCTCATTTACACCTTAAACTATTCAACAAGTCCTTTTTGAAGGCCCGTCTTGTTTTGTTAAAAAGTGGATTTTATATATCGAATTGTTTGCCTATAATCAGGGTTGTTAAGATATGTTAAGATATTAAGATGTCGTTTACTACAGTTCTTTGTCGTACCTTGTGTGGGCGTGGGCAACTGCACACAACGCATCTGAAAACAGGTTTATGTGAACATGTTTTGCTCGGAAGTCCACACAGTGAATGTAATGCTTGTACACCCACACACATATAACAATATGCATCAGTAACAATGTGCTGCGTCATCTATTATGTCCGCTTGTCCACTACAGTCAGACATAAACAAATCTGACGGGCCTGAACCCCCCCCCCCCCCCCCCCCCTCCGCAAATATTCCTGGATCCGCCCCTGAGAATGTAATAATGAACATCGCTGTAAATAATGAAATACTTTTGTTACACGTTATTTACTTGCTGCCTTTTTTTTTTAAATTTACAACGTATGGTTCCCTCATTTGAAATTTTAATCCCAAGGACAAAGTCAATTGCCCGCCTTTCAGGCAAAGCATCTGTTTGGAATGGATGCAAAAACACGCATAATGATAGCAATCACAGTCGATTTGTGCAAAGCGTTATAACATGAACCCGTATAATACTGCTGCCAATTAATAATAATAATATTAATCCATTCTTGCATGTAGAGCGCATTCTGTCAATAAGACCCCAATGCGCTTTACAGGCATAATAACATACAGGTGTACAATTAGAGTAAATCTTTCAAATTACAAATTATACACAAAAACACGGCATATGTAAAACAAAAACCAACACACTGACGAAAATGATTGGCTGGAGAAATGTTCAAAGTTAAAGGATAAGTAGATGGGTTTTGAGTAGGGTCTTAAACAGTGCCAAACATCACTTTCCAAACTAACCCGCAAAATATAAATGTGAGTTACACGGAAAGTATAGATACGGTTACCATACAGGCCCACATTACTATCGGGTAAATGTAAATAGAAAACATAGGAACATTTGCTTTTGGTGCATTTTGTTTCGTTTGAAGCAACCAAATTGCTAAAAAAAAAACTTGTTGACGTTTCAACTGAGAGGAAACTGTACATTTTGAGAAAAAGCACATTTTGGGATCTCGTAACTGGATTCCATTGTTAAGTCACGTAAACAAAATGTGCCCGTGGACTCATTTTCTGAAATCATCTTCAATGATTGTTTCCTTCCGAATGATACCATTTCAGACGGAACTTTCGCAGAGTATTCACATTTTCTCGTTAATCAGTAGGTACGTTTCCGAGTAATGGCAAATGTTCGTGCATTTAAGAAGTACCTATTTGACGAGAATCTAATACATCAAAATTACGGAAAATTTTTTGCAACCTGACACCACTTTTTTTCTTCATATATCATCTCAATGAAGGTCAGTCATTGCCAAAAAATGATGACAGGACATGCATGAATCTGGGACTGAGAAACATTTTCAACTTTGTTAGGAAATACTTAGAAAATTGTATTGACTCTCCATAGACTTTGCACACAATCGCGGAAGTGGCGTCAGGTTGCAACATTTTTTGTCCAAAATGACAAATAATTAGGTTGGAATACAGCCTTACCTGTAATGACAGAACGGAACAGGGACAGTTCCAGAACTGCGAGGAGTAGAAAGCGAACGCCGGTCGAAAGTAATGCATCCATCCTGTCCAACGACTACCCTGCGTCTAACAGTAGCGTCACAGGATTATTCCTCCACGCGAGACAATTCACTCAGTGATTCCGATCACGTGCCCGCCATCCAAATCAGCGGTGTGCATGCATCATTAGGAACGACGGCATCAAGCTGCGGGAACAAAATACCGGAACGACAATCATTTTTGGTTGACATTCATTTGGTATGTTATTCAATCATTGGACCCCCTAGGGCCCTCTTTAATTTGTCCAGGGTACAAGAAATGAGGAATGACACTTGATTGTTTGTTTGAACTGACTGGAGTTGATGTGGAATTTAATGGACTCCAATGCTCTTTCATTAAATTAATTGGAACCATCGTTAAATTTACTTCAATTTTCCACGATTTTTTTCTGTCGTCCAGAGTTAATTGCGCCAGCAATCAGTCCAATACAGCCCTCACTTGAATTAAAGTCACGTGCAAGGACGAGAAAGTGAACAATTTAGATTTGATCCATCGCGACTTGTGTCAAAGACAGCTCTGGGAAGCTATATGATGGCCGACATCTTGCAACATTTAAAAGGCCTGATGAACTTTCAATGAACGGATCGCGATCGTTGGGAAATCAATATTAATGTCCTTCACTTCAAAGTGAAAATAATAAGGAGTTCCCGTGCATGTCACGTATAGCTATGGGTAATTGGTAACGTACTTCGTCACTACATTTTTTAATGGATGAAGAGCAGCGGAATTTTTTTTCTGAATTCAAATTTTATTCTCATAATTTTATAATCAAAGAACGATCGTAAACAAAAACAGCTTCATGTTTTAATCCAAGCAGAATCTGTTTCTCTAAAAGAAAAACTTACGAGGGTTCAATTTGCCAATAAAAATATTCGTTTTGAGTTTTCACGGTTTTGAGAAATAAGAATCTGCAATAACTAAACATTTGACGTATCTTGCAAAAAGTATACACACAATTCCTTAAACTTGGCTACGAGCACGGGAAAATCCCTCTCATTTCGCATAATCTGAGACAACACTAGAGGCATTTTACCCTTTAACGAGACAAGATGCGTTTCTATCTCAGCTTTATGAAGCAATACGAAATGCCAGGAGCTACTCAGACCACAGTGCAAAGAATCCGTTCAGCTCCGTGCTCCGTCAGCGAGGCTTTGGCAGTATTATGGAATTAGGCGCGGCTTAGGGGACTTCAAAGGTACATTTAATCCGAGCCACTGGCTTTATAATGACGGCACGATGTCATTGTGTATGCAAGGAATTCCCGTATCTTCTCCATATAACTATATCAAACTGAAACGTAATACGCCGGCTTCGCCAACTAATCCTCCTCAGGCGCGTGTAACAGCAGAACCGAATATAAACACTGGGAAGATGTGAAGCACATTTCAAGCAAGTCCTCTGAAAGGAAAAAAAACAGAAAAAAATCTGCACATTTGATGGTTGGCGATTGGCAATGCCGGGGTGTGTTCCAGTTTCACTTCTTTAAGAGAGACTTACTAATTAAACAAGACTCTGCGGAAAAGTGCACCGTGCGGCGTTCGGAACCCCAGTGGACGGGGGAGAAGCGAAGCGACGCCCACGTGCAGACACAGGAGAGTCCTTAACAGGCTCGGAATTGAGGTCAAGATGGAATGTCCCCGGGATCAAGGGAACGTCCTAGCGTCTCCTTCTCGGCCAATTACCGGGAAACAGCAACGTGTTCTCCGGCAGATAATCTGGCTGTATGAGCATGCGGCACGGTGTCGGACAATAATGGTGAAACTGGTACGCGTATACATGCTTAGATGAAAGACTGACCCAATGAATAAAGTGCAACTTATATCGCTGCATTAGGTGTTTTGAGTAGACCTGCAACGAGCTTAAAACCTCTACTCAGCTTTCACAACTTCAACATAAACTTTCATGGATTAACTCGCATCTGTAGTTTGCTACAGCTGTACCCAACATGAATGAATACGCCAGATTAAAACCATCAATATGTCTCGGAAACATGCCGTCAGAGATTCACTCGTGGATATGAGTCACTTAAAGGTGCAGAAGCCGGCATTCTTGAATGCCTGCATAATTGTTTTTTTTTTTCAAAAAAAAATTCGAAAGAAACGTTAACAAAATTCTTTCCATACATTGCAGGTGTTTACTGGACGTTTCGGTCTGTGTGTTCCGGTCGTCATTAGGAAAATAAATTTGATCATCAGGAGAAAAAGAAATCTGCTCAGAGAAATCACATGCAGGTATCGGCAAACATCTCAAAAACGATACGTCGTTTAGGGATGTCTGTAGACTGCAGGCAGAAAGACATGTCGTCCATTCTGCAATGATATTAACGCCTCGCCTCTTTTATTGGGCCACTTTTTTTTCTCCAAGCTCCACACGGACGGCAAACATCCATTAGAGGCAACATTTTCAGCAAATCGCAGGATGTCTAATCGGACGACATGACAGGTAGAATCCCACGCGCCTCGCTGGCAATGACACAGAATAGCAGAGTAGTAGTTCTGACCCCAAATCGATTGCCTGCACAACTCGATAATACATTACCTCTATATCAAATATTGAATCATCACTTCAGCCACGAAGGCTTCAAATACACTTCTGGAATTTGTACAGGAGTTTAAAGGTGGACCCATCTGCTAATCCAAAAGTGCTAAAAGTTGCTTATTTCGTATGAATGCAAGTCCCACTCATCATGCAAATAGGTAAGCAGGGAGCCCCTTTAAATATCTGTCCTTTAACATGAACGAAACGCGAACATCACAAAACAGAAATGAAATCTTTTTTTTTGATAAGCCTCTCTCGCTTTCTGATTCACCATTAGCCTATTTGAGATATGGCAGACACAATAGGAGGGCGCTGTTTGATTTGGGTAAGGTCTTTTGTGTTTACCCAAACCATAGCAATCTGTTGCTGTATCCACCATATCTCAGATAGGTTAATTAAGAAAGCTCTTAATACTTTAAACTTACGGCACTTTTCACTAAAATAGCTGAGCACATTTAGTTGACCCTATAATAACATTAATTAAAGGGACATTCGGCCTACAAAACACGTTTTTAACAGAATGATAAAAAAAAATATAGAAGGAACATTTAAAAGTCGAATGTAAATATCCACTTTAAACAAATTCCTGCGAGAACCATGATGCAAGAACGAATATCGGGGATCAATTTTGCCCCCGAACAATTGGAGCTGTTCAATGCTATATAGTGATCCAGCCGCACAGTGGTTCGCACTCTGCGGACATCTTAGAAACAACATTTGTGTATTTGCAATGTGTTCATGTATTATGTACCACACACACAACGTACATGCTGCATTGAAAAGACACGACTTGAAATGGGTATGCCACAAAATGTCTGTTGCGTCTGATGTAAACAACCGGGTGTTTCATCTTTTATTGGGAACGGTAAGACATTAGGTTTGTTTTCTTTCTACCAGAATTTTGAAATAGTATAAGTAAACAATCCAAACATGACATTTTCAGGGATTTCAGGCCGCAATACCCCTTTAATTAACCATAACTATTTCATCATTTGGAGTTGAATTTTAAGGGGAAAATACATCAAAACGAACGTCTCAAGGTGTATGGCAATTGCTACAGTAGCTAAAACTGCATTAAAATGTACGGCTGACTTTTGAAAACCCGTTTTTCCTTGGTTTCTATCAATTTAAACAAAATAATTTACTAAAGGGGGGTTTGACCCTTGAACTTTCAGAATACCGTAAACATACAGGTTCTGTAACTCGATAGGGAAACCACAACGGAAGATATTTTTGCAAGTGCCAAACTGCAAATCTCGGTCTTTCGTAATCTGATCTTCAAGCAAACACGATAAGTTTGCACACGATTATCCGACTTGCTCAAGGGATATCCGAAACCCTGGCCTTATCACATTGTTCTAGGAAATTGATGCAAATAATGGCATGCGCTGCAGCATTTATAGCGCCCCGATTTACATCGGGTGGAGGACACATATATCTCGACAAAAAGTAAGAGCTTTAAAGGGACAACCTAATCCCGCCATGCTCTAAAACGCGTTTCTCACGAAATTATAATACAGTTGGGAAGATCGTACAATGTGTAAGTTACACGTCCTTGCACAATTTTGGTCGTCAAACATCGACCTGTTGCAACAGAGTCGTCAGTTGCTACAGTGGCGCACCATGAGGGAAGGGGGGCGGTTTAAACCTGCCGCTAAAGGGCGCTTTAACACTTTATAACGTCACCGGTAATGTTATTGTAAAGTGCAACCCAGCCAAAGACTAACATCGTTGCAAGCAGGTTCAAACTTTTTCCACTCAATTTCAAATTATAAGGCACTTCCTGTTTGAACCGGAAGGAAGGGTCACGTGATTTGGCACACATTGAGATAAATGAAGGTCCTGGATTATTCTATCATTTCCCGAAAAAGTTAAGTTCGTGTCTCTCGTTGTTAATTTTGTATTGATTTTCAAAGAATAAATCTAGAAATCCTTAATTGCCTGTAATTTGATACATGATGACGTCATCACGTCATTCTATTTTTGCATATCGTCAGTAGGTTGTGCATCCACGATTCAAATTAAAATTGATATCAGTTTTGATGTTGACAACAGTTCTGGAAAACGAATTTGCTGAGGAGAATAATGATAAGAATTAGAGGAATAGTAAATCCCTACAATAACAATTGGTGCCGGCTCACAGCCAACAAATCACCAGAAAACCACCAATTAAAACGAAAATCACTGTCGCGTCAGGTGTAAACAAGCGAGGTTTCAACATTTTCTGTACGCACATTTGGACGTAATGTGGATTTTCTGTAAAACAGAGCTGTGAAACTGTGGCGGTCTCTGGACGAAAGTTCACCTTTAAGACGCAAAGAACATGCGAAAGTGCGCTAACATTCCCCTGGGTGTCCCAGACACGGAAAGCGATCCTGCGAATTACCGCTACTCGTTCAAATTGACATGTCACAATGATTTATCTTGTTTAAAAAACTAACGAGAATTATACGAAACGTGTTTATATTAAAATACCGAGGAGATGTATTGCGTTGCTAGACGGTTGCTGGTGGGTATGGTTAATCGTGTGCTATCGATGAGAGATATCCTGATCGGACGATGATGAGTTAAGATCTACAGTGTTTTTTTTTTTTCAAAGTACTCGAAT